GTGGTACACGCTTCCGAAATGTTGAAGAAGTGCGAGAATGGGTGGACGAATGGATTGCTTCGAAACAAACATCGTTTTATCGAGATGGTATCGCCCAGTTGCCAGAAAGATGGCAAAAAGTTGTAGAAAGTGATGGAAAATACTTTCATTGAAATAATTTAAATAAATTTTTTACAATAAATGCTTTTTCTCAGTATTTTTTGGGCGGAAACTAAGTTAAGGTCCTAATACAATTATATTTGGTGCCTCTCCCTCTCTTTATTAATATAATTAACAATAACACAATAAAACTTATTAGTTCAAAGGTATCCAAGGCAAATTGGCGATTCCTGTGTTAAGGGCGGACAAGAGATTTTTCTCATTGAAGCATCGCAAGGAAGGCTCCGAGGAATGGGGCATTGTGTCGGATGTTATCGTGGAGGATGGCAGTACGATTGTCACTCTTAGAAGTATTCTTCAAGTAAGTAAAGGAGGAAAAGCATGACCGTCTGTAATAATCGACTTCAATAAGTCTTGCGTTTTATAGGTTCACAATCATTTCGCACAACCGATATCAGTTTACTACATGACGAAACGCGGAAACGAAGTGGAGTGTGTAGGCACAGTGGCACCTGACGAAAAGCTCAATTTGCCACTGGATGCTGTTTACACCCCAACAAACATCTACTGGCTGTTCTTCAGTGTCGACGGGTATATTTGGATTCTTTTAAATGGCTCTAATGTTCATTTCTTTTCCAGCTGTTGTACACAAATATCCAATAATTTTATAAAATATAAAAGAACATGAATGTAAAACATAAAATATACAAAATGTAAAGATCTCTTTATAAAATATTCACGATAGAATTTCGATATGCGAATACTTTTTGATTGTCTCATTTCGTTCAGATATATGGTATCGGTAGAACCATTTATTTGGAAGGATCTGCAGAAGACAGTTTCAATGACGAAACTTTTGAAATGCGAATCTCGATTTAAACAAGATGTTACAGAACCATTTTACATCCAGGTAAGTACTTTCTTACATATAATGAAACATTTTTACCGATTGATAAATATCGTTGATCGTTAAAATTCAAACAAATTAAACAATTAGAGGTATTCGTTTACAGGCATTGGGGGAGATCGAGCAGGTGTATTTCGAAAATACCAGTCGTCACACCATGGCTAGCACTATCTACAACGTACATCTGTACCCGTCTGTGTACCTGAAGAACTTTTTGCCAATTGACATCATTATCTGTCTGCCTGGTACCGCGCAGGAAAGCCTGCTTGAAGCTAGTGCCTCTCTGCAAATTCCTACAATTGATCCAGCTAAATCATATATAATTATCAAGGTGAAACATCTGTTTATACGTTAACAAACTTAGATCTTTTGTCATTTTGAAATTATCTCCTTAAACTTTATTACAGTTGATAATTACATTATTTTATTATTTAACCAAGTTTATTTCTCTTCATAGCACATTTTTAATTAATTTTAATAAATCTTTAGAGTAGATTTTAACAGATATATTTAAAATATATATATATTCGTTGTGTAGCTGCCTAATTACTTGGAGAAAGATTGGTCGTGTAGAGGCGAGATTGTAGCGAATCCACCGGACTTCGCAGTCTGGTCGTTTGAATCCTTTGATAGCGCACAGAAAGTAGTTCTGGATCTCGGAATGCACACGTCTCACAAGCACGGTTCGATCATCATGGCGCTCTACTGCCCATTCTGGATGTTGAACAAGACCGGGTTGATGCTGTCTTACAGGGTATGTTTGTAGCGATCTGATCTTCCGTCGCACTTCGTGGTAACTTCGATTTTTCACATATTTCGACGCATTTCGACTTGTCATAGTTTTATTAGTGCTATGCTTGCAAAGACAACGTCTTCTTGAGAATTTCAGAAATCTTAATTCATCTTTTCAGAATATTCTTGCACAAAAAATATCTAGATATTCAAGTCCTTTGTCGATGCACATTCCTCTTGTGTCATGGGTTAATGTATGTGTCCTCATCCAATTGTCACCCTTTTTGCACAGTATCCATCAGTGTTTTGCTAACTAACCACTATCGTTCTTTGCCCGATCAGTATCCTGTATTGAACATGCTCCGTTATTTTCCAGAAATCAAGTAAAGGTGGCAAAGAGCACTCGAGTCCAATCAAGGTAGAGATCTAGAGAATTTCCTGTAATCGTGTCGCATTATTTTATGCTTCGTTTAGATAGTCAATTACTATTTTTCGCAAATAGTTGGGAGAAAATTGGGATTACTTTGTATCTTGTTTTAATCGCGAATCACTTAATTATTATTATTATGCAAGCTATCTTTCGAATTATGAGCTAATTACGAATGTCTAAATTTTATTGTTTGCCGTAAAAATGTACGTGGGGCACGTCTTTCAGAAATTCGTTTCCGCTATGAAACCACATCAGCAACGCGCACAGTACAGGAGGAGGAAAACGCGCGCGGTGATGCAACGTTTTATTTAATATTATCTCGCTGTTCTCGTGGTTGTGTACGCAATTACTCGATTATTGTGAGATAACAAATGTGTTTAGTCCAGTTCGTGTCGCGAGAAACTAACCAGCTTATCATCGTGTTAGATTACCATCGTGTTAGATTACCATCGTGTTAGTTCTAACGCGTTCACTTTAACAATCACACTTGTGCAAAAGTAGTTCTAATTGTGAATCGCATCTTTTCATACATAACTCAAACACACTGGCTATTATCGTGTACGCTTCACTATGTCGATCTTTTTTGTATTGATATAATTTACTCTCATCAGGTTTATATTTGGATTCTTAATTCATTGTGTTTTTAGAGCCTTGAATTTCCAAACGTTTGTATACTTAGATTCCTAGGTGTAAGGTGTATCCCAGTCGTAATGCAAAGTTGACGAAGCTTGTACAGCGACGTGCGTAACAAATTCACCGGCTGTCGTCACATTAACTGCATGATGCTCCAAAGAAATTTATCGGTATTGAGACGGAAGTATTTAATCAGATTGGTTTCTTTCAGGCCACGGACGATCATCTGAACGTTCTGTATCATCCGGAGCATTTCAAGGGACCCATTCTGTTCTCATTCCGCTCCAAAGCCTTCTTCGGCAAGAAAAAAGCTATGATCAGGGTGGAGGACGGCGATTGGTCCGATAAATTCTCCATCGATGTTGCTGGCAGTGAGGGTGTGGTGGCCTGCAAATATAATGGGATAACTTACCAGGTTCTTACATTGATAATCTTTTATTGCTTTTCACAGCTAATATCATATATTTTCTATGTATTTGTAATAGACAGATACAAAGGATACAAAATGGAATAACGCTTACTTCTGTTACAGATCGGCGTGCACAATCAATTGACTTATAACTCGTTGACCAAGCAAATTACATTCACACCATATTACATACTCATCAACAATGCAGACTTTCTCATAGAGTGCCAAGAGGCCGATCGACCAGCTGACCCAATCATCAAGGTACTTTAAGAAGAGATATTTTCAACATAATTATAATACTATGAATATCATAGATATACATTAAATTCACAAATATGATATCATTATATTACCATACATTTATCATCCGGTCAAAACTTTGTAATATTAACTTCATGCTATTATTGTATCCATAGGTGCCTCCCGGCGAATGCGCAGCCTTGTGGCCTCGTACTGAGCACGAGAATAAGACTTTGAAGGCGAAGGTCTCGGGTCAACCCGAAAAAACTGCTGCCTTCATTTATACAGACAGCCATACGACTCTATTAAAGCTAGACAATAAGGTAGTGCAACGTTGCATCCATCTTTGTTGTGAAACAATTTGTAGTTAAATAATTCTCTAAGTTACTAGCGTATGAGCTATTTATATATTCCTCTGAATATTCACCGAAATACTTAACTGCAGTAACAGAAAAATTAAGTGTTCTCACGAGCCTCTAACAATACTGGGTTTTTTACCGTAGTATGGAGGGATTAACGTAGACGTACAAATAAACGAAGGCGGTGTTTACATCTCCATGTCGGCTTATAGTCCAGGCAACGCGCCAGCTTTAATTATTAACCATACATCGTACACTATCAATCTTTGGGAGAAAGGTTCGATTAATATTAGGTACGTGAAAGATGCGTCAGTGACTTGATTGTTAAAAATCAACAACACAAGACTGTCCTACGTTCATTGCGTTTATTTTATGAATACCGATGTTTGTACATGGACAGGTCCGTGCAGTCGTACAACAGAATGTTTTATACCTGGGAAAATCCAGCGGGCTCACGGAAAATACTTTGGGAAGACAGCAACGGCAAAGAAATTGAAGACAATCTTCGTAAGGTAAAAACCAAAGAAAGCATATTTGTAAAGTGCAGTTTGTGAATGTTTGTGAATGAACGCTTCTCTTTTCCAGGACAATCTTGGTGCCTTTCAATTGCCGGAGATAAATGAGGAAATATTCTATGTGTCGTTCTTAGATGGCACTCAGCGAGTACTTTTGTTCACCAAGGCTCTAAAGATCGCCGAAGACTGCCAGTTGGCCGGTGATCTGGAAGTTATCGATCAAGAAATCACGATAAACATTCACGGTATTGGCTTCTCCCTCGTGAACAACATTACCAAGTCCGAATTGTTGTACATGTGCATCGCTAGGTAGATATACTTTTCGATATTAGATCAAAATTAGACATATATTTTCGACGAAACCGAATGAGTTTTTGCAGTTACATATGTCTAATTTCGGTAATATTCCGTAACTTTTCATGACAATATCCAGGAAAATTAATTATACTTTATCGTGATCTAGCTCTGGAATTATATGGGAAACATGTAAAAACATGGGCGGTCGGTGGCGAGCGTTAAGCGCCAAAGAGGTCAATGCCATCGAGGAAGGATATCAACATTATCAGAAAGAACTGCAAATTAACAAGGAAGCAGATTATCGAGTTATGCTGGAGCCGAAACTGATGGTAAAACGAAATGTTTTAACTTACGTTTTCTGCTGTATTATCTTTTAATTTCCTGTCTCTGACTTTTCAATTCTCTGCTTCTATTTTCCTATTTCCAGGTGGATTATTTAAACATGGAGATGCTGAAACCGCACCGCAGATTCATGCGACGTACGTTCCAGACCGGACTCTGGCTACAGTATCGCACTTCGGCACATCAGGTCCAGATGCATGCGAAGATCAATCGTCTTCAAATCGACAATCAGTTGTCGGAATGTATCTTCCCGATCATACTGGCACCGGTCCCGCCGCCGAAGAGTGTCACGCAAAGCACAGGTATCAGATTATGTGTTTCGTGCGATGAAATTTCGTGTTTTTAAGGATATTGACACGTCCTATTTATACAGTAATGAAACCGTTCGCCGAGCTCAGTATGGTCAAGCGCCTGTTAGAGCATAGCAACGTGCAACAGTTCCGTTACTTCAAAGTACTCGTACAAGAATTTCACATCAAGGTGGATATCGTCTTCATAAATGCGATAATGGGCCTTCTCGAGGCGAATGAAGTGAATGACACGGAAGAAGTAAGTGGCGAAATAAATAATACTCAAAATTCGTTCATTGCAATAAAAAAATTGAGATGATTGAAAACTAATACTTGGTATTTTCAAAATATATAAAACATAACAAGTTTTTAATTTATTCTTCTTGTCGTTTATCTTATCTTTCGTTTTAGAGTGCGTTATTCCGAAACGATATGAAATTAGTCAATGAACCGCTGATGTATCACGTCAGTCTTATCACCACGGCCGAGCAGAAGAACTTCTTCGATTTGTTACACTTCTCGCCACTTAAGGTTTGTCACAGTTCAATCGCAAACATTTACAGTTAGTCGCTCTGTACTGAGTCGAGTTTTCTTTTCTTACACGCAGATACACATCAGTTTTTCGATGACCGGCAGCGGAAGTGGACCCTCAGCGCTGCCGCAAGTACTTAACGTGCTGTTGCAAGGAATTGGCGTGACACTGACGGACATCAACGATATTGTCTTCAAGTAATGTGTCTGTTGCTCTCACCGGGCTCTTACTGATATCGGAAAATTCAATCGAGCATTAAATCCTTGCATTTTACTAGTCCTCGCGTCCTAAAGAAATTCGCATCGAAATTCGTATCCAAAGATTCTTTCATTTCTCAGATTCTTAAATTTTGAGATATTTAAATCGTTTTATTGTGTACAGGTTGGCGTACTTTGAGAGAAGTTATGTATTCATGACTCACAAGCAACTCATCTCCGAAGCAACCACTCATTACGCAGGCCAAGCGATCAAACAAGCGTATGTACTTGTGCTAGGACTTGATGTTATTGGCAATCCCTACGGACTAGTGATAGGAACCATGAAGGGTATCGAAGATTTGTTCTATGAACCTTTTCAAGGAGCTATACAGGGTCCAGGAGAGTTTGCGGAAGGCCTGTATCTCGGAGTACGTAGCATGTTAGGTCACACTGTCGGCGGGATGGCTGGCGCTGTGTCAAAAATTACAGGAGCGATGGGTAAGCTTTCCTAATTTCATTTTAACTCATTTAGTAATATTTTTATAACACAATAATAAGTGACTTTACTTTTATTGATTTTATAAACTTTGTCCAGCATCTATAATTGTATTTTTGCAGGCAAGGGTATTGCTGCTCTGACATTCGATAAGGATTATCAACGCAAGAGGCAAGAGCAGCTTAACAAACAACCCGCCAATTTACAGGAGGGTATTGTTCGAAGCGGAAAAGGTTTAGTGATGGTAAATATGTGAATTAATTAACTCGTTAATTTATATTTGTTGTAATAACAATTATTTACGTATACTTAATTACCTATTTTATATCACAGGGTGTAGTCGATGGTGTGACGGGTGTAGTAATGAAGCCTATATCAGGAGCGAAGGAGGAAGGAGTAGAAGGATTCTTTAAAGGCTTCGGAAAGGGCGTTGTTGGACTTGTCACCAGACCCACCGCCGGTGTTATCGACTTCGCGAGTGGTTCCTTGGGAGCCGTTAGACGGTATAATCTGTTATAACTATGCAAAAATAATTCTAATAATTTTGCTAATAAAGAATAAGAGTAAACTATATATACATTTTTATACATTACGCGAAATATGCATTTTAGGGCCACCGAATTAAGCGAGGAAACGAAGAAAGTACGGCCGCCTAGATTTTTGCAGCCGGACAGTCTTGTTAGGCCATACATCAAGGAAGAAGCCGAAGGCAATAAAATTTTGATGGTAAGAACTAAACTAACTGCTTAGATGTCTTACTCCCAAAAGATCGTTATATATATCCATAAAAATATTATTAATTTATAAATATTGTTGATATCACACAAAGAGTTAATTTTTTTTACAAAATTTCTTTTGTAGGAACTGGATAAGGGAAAATATGCACACACTGACGTTTACCTCTATCACATATTCATTAACAAAGACGTGCTGTTGCTTACCGACAAAAGATTATCATATCTCGAACGCAGTGACTTATTAGGTGGCTGGCGGGTTAGTATTAAATACAATTGCCATATTTTTATCAATTTCTCGTTCTTACTATATTTAATTGTTCCAGGTTGACTGGACTCACACTTGGAATGAATTCAGCGAATCGCCAAAACTCGTAGAGAGAGGCGTACAGATTTTCACCAAAGACGCCAGCAAAAAGAAAAAGCTTGGCAATCTGTTCGGTAGTGCGGATCAGTCTAAGATAATATTAATAGCGGATCACAATATTAAACAGGTATGCGCGACCGATCGGTCTTAAAAATCGTATATCTTTCACAAATCCATATTCTATTGACTTTACGGTCGGTAATTTAACAAGTTATATTTTTTTACATAATATATTTGATATTTTTAAACTTAATAATTCGAGAATTCTATTTCGTAGTTATTATGCAGCAAGATGCGAGAGCAGATGAATCAGCATGGAGTATAACAGAGCAGCGCACATACGAAACGCTTGAGCGACTTCCAATAGGAAGAAAACGATACTTCCAAGAAAGAAAAAGGAAAGAACGAAAGAGGAAATGTGCTTCTTTATTTCCGGGACGCTTTGCGAGCGAGTTCGCACAATTTCTAGGCGCACTTTCTACGAATACTACTTATAAGACTGATACTACGTAGCCGTGACAACTTAAGCTAGAAAGACACCAAATCGATCATATCGAGAAACCGATCGCGAAAGAGCGTAGTATCTTTTTCATTTTTTATCACAAAAACGTACAAAATCTTTTGTTGTCGGTATCGGTACCGAATGAGTAGTATTAGGTGCAAACAATTCGTCAGAGTTTAATAATAGAATTGTACAATTCCGAAATAATTTTAAAACAGTCACCTTTGTGACTTCTGTACACACTTTTTTTACTTGGCAAGAAGTTTTTTGAGCCCTTTTTCAAAGAATTCGAATCAGTAGGTTCGTTTAAAAAACAGTACTTAATAGAAAAAAAAAGCATCGAAACTTTTGCACCAAACTAACAGTGATTATAGCTACATCACAGAGACAGTATAAAGAAATAATTTTTGTTGAGTTTACATTCATAGTATTCCACTTGTGCGTTTCGTTTGATACAATCATTCAAACGAATCGTTTTAGTCACAGTAAAGTTACCATTTAATCGTATCCTTAGAGACTTATTAGTTTGCGATGATCACGAAATGGAGTGAATCCACTAGTCTTATGATCGTAAAGCATTAAAAATAACCCGAAGCAAACGAAATGAAATAAGAAAAGTGAAAGAACTTCATTCTTACACGCTCGCAAATGAAAAGTTAACGTAAGATCATTTATATATAATTGTTGAATTTTACGTAAATCTCATATATACATCACAGAGGAGAGTTTAACGAATGTTAATTCATATTCTGGAAAAGAACTAATTTCACATCACAAACTACATTGTTAATCATTGTTTTAAAATGTAAAATGAGCGTTATCCTAAGCAATGTGCTCGGCCATTAATAATCAAAAGCAGTAGTACGCTTAACCATTTTTCTGAAAACATTTAGTGGGGACGTTATTGAGAGATTTGCTACGAATGCCACCGACACATTGTTGAGATATAATAAATTTTATTACTGAGCTTTAACGCCTAACACCAGACTATACGTGATAATTCTACCTCGTTATTAATGCTACGTATTAAATTAATAATGTAATACATAAATTAAATGAACTTAAAATTACACTAATTTAAACGTAATTTTCAAAACTAGTTTTTCGTTTGAATTGCTCTCTTTAAAAGAGATATTTTAATAACAGCTTCAATATATGCTTATTGTGTTTATTATGTATTATAATTTGACTGTCATTCTATCGCGCGCATACATCTAATAAAATTATTATAAATGTCTTTTGTATTTTTCGTTTCTCGAATTTAACTTTATCATTTCATCGCACTTTTAAGTTTGCTTCATATCTTTTCATTACATATTATGTCAAATGTTAACATGCTATTATTAGACACATAATATGTATTTTTATTGTTACACGTGATTATTCTTAATTCATTGATATTAGTTTTATTTTATACGTGTTAATTCGGTAAATCTCTTGGCACTTAGCAATAGATAATGTTTCATATATCGATGTCGTAACGCGATCCTGTGATGCACACGACGTATGCATAATTTGCTCCTTCTCTTGTTAATTTTGCGTGGTTGTGTTGCGACAGATCGACATAATTGTCATTTATTCAGGCGTATGTAGGTACTGTTGCGTAACGAAAGTCGGAATTAAGATAGGAGAATTTTTATACACGTGAACACGTAGTTCCATTCGGCGTACCCAATGCAGCCCGGCGGCTCTGAAACTGATGAACTGCAGCAGACTCCGCAATACATCCCCGGGCCTCCACAGTTGCCGGCTTTAGTCAAAGGGCAGAAATTGAAGAGCGTGAGTGACGTTTCAATTGTACAATGTAACAGACAATTATTTGCATATGTTGGTTTTAATAATCCTTCTAAAATTCCAGGGGCCATACACCATCACGGTGACCGATGAGATGGTAGCACGGAGAGAAAAGGAGAATCTAGAGCTTTACAAAGCTTGGGTGCACGAACAACGTAGGAGAAACATGCTGCCTGAGGAAGATGCGGATGAGTACATAGGTGACTTCAAGCAGGCGATGATAAGAAGGAGCTTCGTTCGCAAAGTATTCTGCCTCCTCACGTTGCAGCTGATTCTCACCATTTGTATCGTAGCCATCTTCATGTTTGTGTAAGTGTATTCTATAGAAGTTTTTACATAATCGTTTTTTGATTGTACTTAATTCTATGAATTACTTTCCAGGCTGGACGCACAGAAGTTCATGATATTACATTGGTACTTATGGATTGTCGCCATGTAAGACAATGACCAGTATTGATTATTGAGCTTATGTGACTGTAACTTAAATCTAATTGAGAAATCAACTGATATTTTTTAATAGGATCTTATTCATGATCACCTATTGTGCTGTATCCTTCTCCGTGCACGCCAGACGAACACCTCCATACAATTACATATGTTTGTTTCTGCTGGTAAAAGTCTCATCCGTTTTTGTTTCCTTATAACTGCAATAAAGTAGAGTGACTAATGAAATCATTATGGATATTGCAATTCAGACAATAGCAATGTCCTACTTGGCTGCGTTCGTCTCCGTGTTTTATAGTGTTGAAATGATCCTCATTGCTTTGGGTATGACAGCTATGGTCACAATAATAATAACTTTCATAGCAACATTCTCCAAGGTACTTTTATCTATTTTAATATTTTATTCTGTATTTCTACTTTTAATGAAATAAGTTTTTAAAGTCAGTACATGTGTGGCTTCAGTTGTTCTTTTATGTTTTGATCTATTTTATATTATAAATATGTGTTAATAAGAACAAATTATAAAAATTAATATTAACGATGTGATTGTAGTTTGACTTGACAATGAGAGCAGGCTTACTGATGATATTCGGACTGGTTGCTGTTGTCTCTATCTTCACAATGATAATAATTTTGTTGTTCACTTACATAAGTGTCTTACGTCTGCTAATTTCAATCATTGGAACACTGCTGTTATCTATGGTCAGTAAAATTACAATCTTAAGAACTAATCGGTATATATTTTAATCTTCGGAAGATTTATGATATAAACATAAATAAACGAGGTAATAAATAAATAGTTAACATTAAATGTTTATCTAACGTTTTATGTCGTTTCTAGTATCTGTACTTTGATGTACAAACTATCATGGGTGGACGCAGAGTGGAACTATCGCCTGATGAAGTCGTTTTCGCAGCTACGCAAATTTATGTAGACATTGTACTGTTGTATCAATATTTATTAATGTTTATGGGTTTCTTTCATGATGCATAACAGTCTTAAGATATAATGTATACTATATTGATATATATTTACATTTTTATTTGTATCGTGTGCATATTATTATTAATATAATATACTTTTATATCTTTTTAACAAAACAAAGTTTGCAATATTTAATAGCAACATTTAATGTTTATTTTTAGTATAAAAATTAGTATTTTTAGTATAAAAATAATGAAGAATAAACAAAATTTGGAAATTACATAGAATGTAATTTTAACAAAAATAATATAAAATTTATTTCTTTTTTTACAATGCTATATAAATATAAAGAGATCTGTTATACATTGAAGTTTTCCATAGACTCAAATTTTACCGCGCAATCGAAAATCGCACAAAGAGAATTCACACGTGCCAGAAATGAAATATATGACTTTTGATATCCAATCGAAAAATCTATTTTCTAGAGGCAAAGGAATTGCTAGTTATCTTCCTAGAAAACGAACTTCCATTGGATATCAAATCGTCCTGCGTCAAATATCGTAGGCAGTGTGAACTTAGTGTACTTAGTGTACTTTAGTGTACCCATTAGTGTACTTTTCTTACACCAGCGTAAAAAAGGCCACTAAACAATGATCTATACATACGCTAGATTGCGCGCCATGCGAGTTATATGTTTTGAGTTCTGCTCATTACAATTTCGACTAGACCGTGAAAATGATAGAATTTTTCCTGCATCGTGAATAAACTCATGAAAACAATTTAAGACAACTCCGTGTATCGAACACGAAAGAACAAGTAGGGATTGTCCGGAAAAAGAAGCAAATTTATAAAATTGTAACCTCAACATTTTGGAGTGAGTGCATTTTTTTACTTGTCTGTGATTTGTGATTATATTATTAGCAATAGTGATTATATTATTGATATTAGTAATTCCGTATTTTCTTAAAAATAACTATTAACGTTTTAAACTTCGTATATAGAATATTATTTGATAGCCAAAGTGTGTGAAGATATACAAACATACACATTAACTTATCACATATACATTATTTCTTAATTGTTTTATATCTTGTAGAAAATGGAGGGCGATCGATTAACCAGCAAGAATACCAAGGAAGATGATGATGTCAAGGCTAAGTCCAAGGAAACTTTAGGTTTGAGTACTATAGTAGCTTTAGATATATTGCATCGTGATGTTGAACGGGTTCTGCAGGAATATCAAGAGGATCACAGAAAAAATAAGTACAGCAATTGTGATTATTTCGAACAAACAGATTCGTGTTCAGCTAAAAGTTTAAAATATATGCTTAATATGAATTTAACACTCATACTGTGATAATTATATTTAGGAAATTCAAAGCTTGGCTAAAGGATGCCTTACATCATCGCAGCCAATACACAACTCTCTGTTGGACCTCAGCACTTGCATTGCTAGTTAACGCTGTGATTCTCATCATTGCATTCTTTACACTCAATGAAACATGGTACATAGAACAACTTAAGAGCTTACATATGAAAACTTTTGCTACCTCTGATTTTATTTTGTTGATGTAATGTCTGTTGTTGTCAATGACACTCGTGTTCCATAAATGAGTATGTCATTGCAGGTATTCTACACTGCCGTACCAAGGACTGATAGTCTGTTGTTTAGTACTATTAAATTTTATTTTAGTGGTGTCAGATAACAAATTACGACATGAGGAAATTCCTCACAGGGTGAAAATTCTTCTTGATCAACTAAATAGTGAGTATTTGAACGATTTAAATGTATTGCTTATTACTTTGTATTATACTTGCTTATTACTTTATATTATAAATTCATATAAAAATTTATCAGTTGTCCATATACCAATTGTCCTTTGTGCTATGACATCATCATACATAATTTCTACTTGAAATTTGCAGTTGCACGTTCCACATGTCGATGGAGGCGCGAAAACTATCCACATCTATGTAGTCCGCAGTCACCTTGCTTGACGCTGCAGTGGACGTATCGCGACGGCGAGATAGTTAATCTGCCTTGGGCATTGTTGGTGGCCGGTGACATAATCGTAATGAAACCGGGCCAACAAGCACCCGGATATTGCGTGCCGTATAACGTATGTAAATTGGTAAATCAGTTTTGTAACGCGCACAGAAGTTCGCACTACGTGTGTATATTTGTTCAGGATGCGGAAGCGCCGGTTTTGCACGCCAGAGAGGCGTACAGTCCTGCGGTGCACGGCGCTAACGAGATATTCTCTACGCCACAGGCTCGTGTACCTCTCAAAAATAAAATTTACAAGCTCCAGGAGACGCCGTATTTGATGAATCTGCGTATGGCGTTGGACCAGGCGCTCGATCGGCCGGTGACTTATCACAATCGTAAGCGTCACCTCCTGATGATCTGCTGTATCGAACATCTGGCTTATCCGATACTTTTGATCGTCACCCTCGTGGTCAATCTGCTTCGCTACGTATACGTGGCCGATTATTTCGGTACGGGCCACTGGAGCGAGATGTTTCTGCTGCAACCGGTTGCCGTGAGTCTTCCTTTGTTGCCGTTAGTGTTCCCCGCCTGTTGGATATTTCTCAACTGCTTTGGGATGGCTCGTTTCAAGGCATTATTTAAGTTATATTTATCCTCGAAAAAACTTCAGGTTCGTATAACATTCAACTTGCAGAGAACACTTAAAAATTGAGTATAGTACCTTTTAAAATTATGTTTTAAATACAATGATATATTAGAAATCTTATTATCGCTACTATTAGGCTAGATATTTCCTTTCTGAAAACTTGTTGTTTTCAGTTTATCTTATCTATTAAATATGAATTAGATGTCTATTTTCTAAATATGAAAGTAACGAACAATATGTGGATTCTCTATAGATTTTTACAAACCTAGTTTGTAGATCCTTTTGAAGACGCAGATATCAATGGTCCCAATCACCCGGAAGTAGTGTACAACGGGCTTGAACTTAAGGATTATTTTTTCGAAATTCTCTGTGGTAAGGAGCACATGATGTCGAGATCCGCGAGCATTTTACATGTTTTGGGCTCCGTAACCGTGAGTATCATAGCATCAAACGATCAACCGTGCATCATATAATTTCTATTATATCTTTGCAGGCGTTATGCTGTGTGGACAAGAAAGGAATTCTATCGTGGCCTAATCCTACAGCAGAAAAAGTATTCTTCTTACGTAACACCAATAGCACTCTGTCGCCGAGCTCTAGGTAATTATCTTGCAGTGCCTTATATGAATAAATTCGCGCTTCCAATATCCAACTTCTTTGTATTCTACAGAACCTCTCTATCGCAAAGATATAAGAATCTGATATCTAAAAAGTTCAAAAAATTTACTCTCTTTACTGAGATTAAGCAACTTATAACACGTGACTTTATTTGTAAAGTTAAAGAATTGAGTCACACAGAGAATATTGTGATTTCTTTACTTTAGTACCGGCAGCATGGATAACAAGACTACTGAAAAGAATCAGGAATTTGAGGAAACCCAAGTGAATTCCAACCGGACGTCCTACGTGCAGCACGGTAAGGAGCTTAAAGCAACGAAAATTTAACAGAACATTACCGAGCTATATTGTTTCGCAGATATGTCACACTCCACCGCTGAAGTACTTGATCTCACGCATGATCACGCCTTACCGTTTCGACTACAGTTCGACGATCATTCGTGGCGTCAGCATCTGAATTCGCTCAAGCCGCTTGGCTTAGCGATTCTCCTCAATACGTGCAACATGGACACGCAGGAGCACTACATGCAATTCTGCTGCCACGTCACTTGCGAGGCTCTCTACAATGAGAACCTGGTTCCAGTGACGAATAGACGGTATGTGTTCGTAATTTTTATCTCATCCCGTAGAAATCAGTCCGTTTGATCCCGATTTCTTCACAATTTCGTCACAGAGTTAACTATTCACTTAACAATCATGGGTTGTTCGCGCGTTGACAGTTGCCTGTGCGAACTGGCGAAGCAAATTGGCTTCCAGGACCAGGCACAGAAGATATTTCAACTGGAGCAACAACTCTCCACATTCAGGCATGTGGTGAGTGTCAACGATAAACGTGTTAAAACAATGACAGAAATATCGATAGACAGTTGTGGCAAAAAGTGAACCGAATTGTACTGTCGAACAGCAACCGGAAATGGTCAGGCGGGACATAAAGTTTGCACGTTCACTGAGTATTGCGACGAAACTGAAGTTCCCGTTCCCTCACATGGTCGCCGTAGTGGTAAAGGAACGCACCGGAGGTGGTCTGCAATTACTAACGCAGGGAACAGCCGACATAATACTAGACTCCTGCATTGAGTTCTGGGACGGCCACGACCTTTGTCCTCTGTCTGCGTCAGACAGGTACAGCTGAATAATTTTTCTAGCAATTTTTCTGCATATTATACATAACTTTCTTGAAATGTTCAAATAAATTTTACAAATCAGCATTCTGCTAATTATAAAAAAGAAGTAGAAAAATGTTATACACATAGATCTGTAAATATATTCATTTTGTGTCACATGATATCCTCGTCCTTTTTATGTTGCAGAAAGAAAGTGCAAGATTTTTATCAGAGGACCAGCCTGACGTCGTACTGTACTGCATTCGCTTATCGGCCTTTAACGCGCGCCATCAGCGACAAGATGTCCGAGATTTATCTGGAACTTCCTGCGGACAGCAAACACTTATACACACCTCATCGTAGTCCAACTCCTTTGCCGTGGGACTTCAGGAACGTTCTTGATCCTAGAGTGCGAGGGATACTTGGGCAATTCCACTCGACAGGTGCGTCCCATCGTGTTATCTCTACATTTTCTTCGCTCTGATTTTTACTTTTTTATTTTCATTTCATGCACAGATTCTTTATTATGTAATGAAAACAAAGACGATGACGTCAGCGACGTCGAAGGCTGTTTTGAGGTTCAGTGCAATCAGGTCTTCATCGGAATGGTCACTATGCAATACCAGGCACAAACGGACATGGTATATGATGCACCGATCTTTAATTAACATCCAAAGTGTAATTTTTATCGTGATATTAATTTGCAACATATTCATTCAACAGGTGCAGTTGATTGAACAGCTGGATCGGGCGTGCATCAGATTCGTTCATTTTAGTAAGGAAAATGAATTGCGCTCGCGCGTTTTCTCGGAGAAGATGGGTCTGGAGAGTGGCTGGAACTGTCACATTTCTCTGCTTAGCGAGGGAGCCAGGTATTGCGCTAGATGACGCATCTCAATGTATTTCAAATCTCATCGTCTCTCGATGTTTTTTTGAACTTTTTATGGGGCATATTCGCGACTTGTTGTCCATGTCTCTGATCCGGTGCTTTTTTGCTTTCGATATTGCTAAAGAATTAAATGCTAAAGAAGGAATTATTTTTAAAATTTTCAAGTAATTCCATTATTATTAAATCAACTCTAATTAAAATTAATTGTGTAAGACCGAATGTTAATAATTATCTTATTAGCGAGCTGTAGCGAAGCTCGTAATGTGTAAAATATATCCGTGTATATTGCAGGAGACAGCAATGGCTGGAGAGATATCCGCATATGCCCCCGTCGTATATGTTTGTCTATACGTCTTCTATCTTCGTTATTATTAATCGTGATTTGTGCATGTTGATTGTTATTACACAGGATGTCTTAGAAATGTTCAAACGTTAAATTCCACAATTTGAGAATTGAGATTTATCGAGATTCAGAGATTCAGAACTTGAAAAAGTTTCAACATCAAGAATAAATAAATAAATTGTTTCGCTCTTAATTCTCCAAGGCATCCTATGTGGTGTTTTTTTTTTCTCAAACGGATGAAGCCGCAATCATTTGGCTGCAGTGTCCTAATATTTGATATATGTACTAATACCTCATTATTTGTACGAAGTGTTTAATTGCAATTTTTTCGATATATAATACTTATACTTCATTTTCCCTCTCATTATTTCCATATCTTTTGGATATTTCTTCAGTCACTTAATAATTTGTATCTTGGACGAAATAGGAGTCCAAGTATTTATAATCTCTTCAGTTTTTGCTTGTAGAAATCTCAAAATATGCAAACATTTTGGGATTTCGTGATTGCGAATCGACACCTACAAAATTGGATCACATGACACAGATGCATATGACGAAGAACACATTCATTACTTCAGTGTAACTAACACACACGACAACATTAGGTCTGAGAGTCCAGTGGGTTGGTGGGTGAGCCAGGCAGCAGCCATGTCCTCACCCACTCCCTCACCCACGGCCCAATCTCATCAGCCTAATTACTCCTGCATGGACGAGGCCAGCCACTTGCTTAATCGTGTCTTACCTCGGTACGTACTTTGGTACGTTATACCGATTACATGTAGAAATAGCTCACTGTATGTGAGCGTTACTTGGTATAACATCCGATTTTTGTGCTCCGCTTTTTAAAGAGGAAAAGAGAATTTTTTAAAAGCAGTATTAAATCCTAGAATACATATCCTACGATGACTAATAAAAAGCTAATCTATTTTTAGTAGCGAAAAATGATTTCGATAAATTAAATTAAAATTGAACACTGTCGAGGGAAGCAGAGATTAAAGTTTCCTCAAAAATAGAAGCTGTCACGAATACCGTAAGATTCGAGATCTTTCTATGCATTCTAGGATTAGTCATTCGCAGAAATGTGCAGCATGATGAGATTCTCATTCATTTATCGCGAGAGCTTTATCAAGTCCGAAGGAACTTTTGCAACAAGCTAACGCACTCGTAGCTTCTTCGCATTAATGTATTTCTATCACCAACTATTACAATGAGTAAAGAAGAATACCAAACAGCGCTTACTCTATGGATCTTGTTTCATTTTAGCACCAACCTAAACAACAGCCGAGCGATGAGCATGTCAGCGCCGAGTGCCATCAATACGGATTTTACGACGGTGAAATTCGACGATGAGACCACCGAGTGGAATGATACGGGTACGTCGCAGGTGAAGAGTGCCATGAGTCACAGGTTTGTAGACATAATGAAGATCTGCGTACTTTAAATTATTGGTCATTAGGTGTATCTATTGTATCGATTATTGTGTGGATTATGTTCCACTATCGCAGTGTACAAATCAGAGAATTTGTACGTATAATTGTAAATTATATTGTAATTATATATTATAATTGTAAATTATGGAAATTGTCCATAGGGAGCAGGACACGATGAGAAGTGAGGATAGCGTCTTAGTGCAGAGCGTCGACTTGGGATCAGGTCAAGAAGGTTGGAGGTCCATAAGCTGCCTCACCGACAGCACAGAGCAAAGTGCACCTGTCAACTTCGATCTGTCGAATAGAGTAAGCGGATTTCTCTTTAGATTGAGTCAAATTTCGCAGTATATAATATTTTACTTGATTTAAATACAGGCTAAATTGCCAAGAGGTATAGACAAGATACGACCGCACATAGAGTTAATAGACAACGTACCATTATTGGTATCTCTGTTCACCGATTGTAACACCACGGTGACCCGCGAGATGCTGCACATCATGCAGGATTATGGCGAGGTGGTGTGCGTTCTCGGTTCCTCAGCCAACGCTGAGAACATGCCGATTTTCATGCAGGCCGACGCTGGGTAATTGTGCTCGTTGTTACTCGCTTAATCATATTTTTAATGTGAGATTAAAAATCGCATTGAATTGAAAAGTTAAAAGTTAATTTTTTCGAAACTTGACTAAAATCGAAATTTTATTCTCTAAAAGATAAATATTTTAATATTTATATATTTAATATTTTTTAAATTTTAATTAATATTTTAATATTTACCACAATAATATTTAAATTATTAAAAAAGAAATTAAATAACATTATTGCAAATGTTTAAAGAAGAAAAATCTAATTTATATGATTTTCACTCTTGCGATTTAGTTGCAAAAGTTGATTGTACTTTAAAGTTTACTAAGATTAGCAAATTTCTCACAGAGTGGCAGTAGAACCTTTATATCCCCAAGTATGCCAAAAGGTGCCTGTGTTGGTACCCACCACGGAGGACCAAGGAATTTCTCCCGTCGACCTAAGTAGAGTTTTGAACTCCGTCGCATGCTCGTTGAGCGTGAAACGCGAGGATCCTGTAGCGATCTTTCACCTTATTATGGAGGTATAGAATACAAAGTTATATGTAACAAATATTTTTGAAAAAATGTGATAAAATTTGTCCATGTTGAATCTCAACGAAGCGTTTCAATAAAATTCCCGAGTGTCCGTAGGTTAATATAACATGTAGTTACATATGTAAAGTTTGTATTGAACATGTCTCTTTCTTCACACAGGCGCGTCATTACATGAGAAGTTTGTGGAACTGCGTGCAATTTTGGCTGTGCTGTACAGTCACTCTCTCATTTACACAAGCGCTTTCGGCATTTTTATTGTTACCGCCGCTGTTTTCCGTCGACCAAGTGATGTGGCTGTGTTGCTTAATTATTCCCTTAATATCGATATCCATGATCGCTACGCCGATAGATGCGACGATCATGCAACGTGCGACCGGGAAGAATCAATGTATAGTCAACGGAGAGGTAAGGAACACGGTGAATGTGGCCTTAGATGTGGCTCGTAGATTTGTTCAAACTCGTGTACTTTATATACGTTTTTTTACTTTTATATACATACACACGTCATAACCAGGTGGCCTTGTTCGTGCTATGGTGTTACGGCAGCAAGTTCCTGCCGACGGTGATCACAGTAATTCTGTCGCAGTGCGTCTCGTTCATGACGCTCTGTCCCATCTACGCGGCGCACAACAATTCCAAGTGCCTGTACATATATCCAGACGTACGGGGCCAAGATTCTTGGGGCGGCTGGGGTAGCACACCGAGCGTAGTTTCGGTCGTGCAACATTTCGCCCTCGCTCTCATAGTCTTACACTTTGGTAGTCACATTTTGATATTATTAGTGTTATATTTGAAATAGATTTTAGTAGAAAAGTGACAAAATTCGTTGCTCTATTTTTCTAATCTGATAATATATCAAAGCAAATTTATACATGTGCGCAAAAGAAAGTTGAGAGGTTTCTCAATAATCACTTCTTCTTTCACAGTGACGATATCAGTTAGCTTTGTGCACAGAGAATACTCTATATGGAAGAAACATCCCGTTAATAATTACATATGGTGCCTCAGCACATTTCTTGTGTAAGTATGAGACGTATAAATTAGATAATAAAACTTATTTTAATTATAACTGAGAAATATCAATATTTAGTTTTTTTTAGATCTTTCCTTATTTTTCTATACTTATATTACAGATTGTGTGCACAGACAGCATTCTCCAGTACAGCGTTCTGCAAATTTTGGAAAGAGGAAGGCAAAAACATTGAAGACCTCCCCATGCATCTAGTGTTGTTCTTTCTGCTCTCTATCCCATTAACGTTCGCTGTCAACGAGTTGATCAAGTGGCAAGAGATCAAGTAAGCTTATTTAATCTCTTTGATTTGTTAACACGATTTAGTTACGACTTAAGATCCACGCAAGAAAAGTGTTTCTTGTAATTTCATCATAATTTTGCTCTTTTCTTCCATTTTATATCAACGTTTCTTTATTTCCTTTTTTTCAGAGTGAACGTTAGATACCAAAAAAGAGCGCGTCTGGAATTTGGTACAAAGCTGGGGATGAATTCGCCATTTTAGCTTAATTATTATTGTTTCTTGTCAATATCGTACATTCTACAGATGTGTCTGCAAGAACTACAGAAATCAAGCTTCTGCAAGAAAGTTCGAATGTGGTTCGAATCACCAATACAGAGCTTCATGTACTTACATTTGGCCTCATGCCAAATATTGCCAAAATGATAGAGGTCTTGACAAAATAACGATATTTTTATATAATAAAATGCGTGTACTTAAATTTTACAACATAATGATTATAACAATAATTATTTGTACAATGGACACGCCAGAGGCAAGTCGATCACGAGCTTAAATGAGCATTGTATAGAAGTTTACGCGATATATCGGATTGATAGCGAAATATTCGTAACATTTTACATCCGTTCGCGTGCATTGTCTTTCTCGCTTTTGATTCGTGATGTCAAGATGCCTGACATAAGCATCATTGATGCTTAAATTTCATTTATGCGTTACAAACGATCGGTTTAATGGTAAATAATTTCGCCATGAATCTGAGACATCTTGTATTTAATGCCTTTAGTATTAGTAATGTATTTATACATACGAAGATGTTCCTATGGAAAATAATTTATTTGCGGATACAAAGCTAGTGCAAATTTTAGGGAATTCATAGCAATAAGCGTGTTTTGCGAGAAATCACAGTATATTCGCATAAAAGTGTTATGAATTCCAGGTTCTAAAAATATGAAAGCTATCATGGAACTACTTCCGATTATAACAGAAGCTCGAATTTCTAACAGAGTTTCTGATTGTACTATACCATATTTCTTTGGATTCTTATATATGAGTCTCAATATATTATATAATTATGTTACATAATTTTCTGCACACGTTTTTCATAATCGTGCGTACAATGTTAACTATCTTCGTAGCTTCATTTCAATTGCATTAACTTTTCGCACATTGTTCTAGAAAATCATGATAGTCTTTTCAAACAGTTCCATGATATGTTTCCTGATCTCTCGTTAGTAAAAATTCTTTGGTTGTGACTGATAATAGGTAGACGATGATAATAGTCTTGTTCGCATCTTGTTCGGAGGCAATATTCAATTTTACCTCCGATCAAGCGAAATGCAACGATTGTCGAGATTTTTTTTTTAAATAAAAATAAAGTTTCTGTTGAACGATATAGTTCACTCTCGTCGCAAATTTATTTTAATATTAAGTGTCCGTTTGTATGGCATATTCATCTTTATACAGTTAATACTGTATTTCAGGAATAGAGCTTTCAGTTGAATACTGAAATTCGTACAATTAGAATTGCGATGTCGTTGCTGTTGTATAATTAAATATCAATGCACGTTGCAACTTAATCACGATTAAGACTAGTAGCGTGCTGCAACACATTATCACGGAGTACATCGATTCGTACAACAATTTCGGCGAGAATACCGACCAGACAAACAGATGATGACGCTGTACTGTAACAATGATCGTGTAAACAGTCATCGTGAACAATCTCCACGTGATGTAAGTTTTGCTTGTTCGCACAACAGCGTCACTGTACAAATAAGAATCAATTTCTTTGTTAAATAACGTAACCGTATTAATCTATTTGATTTTTTTACAGTATAAACAATTCATAAAAAATTAAATAAAAAAAATTTTTAACACATATTTTTCATCTAAAATATTATTTTATCTTTTAGATGAAAGATAAGTTCCAAGTTTTTCAGTGTAATTAGATTTACAATTTCAGAACAGTATGAATTACTTACGAGTGCGTTTCGTTCAATTGTCGATAGTAAATGAGCAAGAAATAAGCCAAGACTGGAGCGGAATAAGTGTTGACGATTAAATATGCGCCGATGACGAAGGGCATATAGGAACGCAGTCCGATATATCCTGCCGCGACGTCTACACTTGCGAGGCTATTGGAGTTGCCCTAAAATATGTCATATGATACAACTCATTGGCTTAGCTCTCCGAATAATTTGAATTTTTCACTTAAATATAAATAAATTTTTTATCGACTGTATACCTGATAAAAATAGAATACATTGCCGAGCCAATAATGCGCATAGATACTGAGATCGAGCAAATTATTTTCCCTTAATACAGTGTCGATGATTGAACTCGCGACGATCTGCATCGGCAATAAGATCACATTATACGGCTGGTGCAACATCGCCGAGATCATCACCCAAATATTGATCATAAAGAACAACATCGTGCTCGTGAAACGTTTCCTGTTATATTTGATCATTAATCTCATTCGATAACCACAGCTCACGAGAAATAATGCTGTTATTCCCCAAAACGTTTGCACTTCGTATATTCCACTACGACAAATAATATTCAATTAATTTCCTGCTGAAACATTACCTCATTCGCATAATCACTTTTAGAATTCCAATGTACCTCGACGAGAAATATGACGGAATTTTTCCAACCGCATCATTAGCCATATGGCGAAGATATATGCATATTGCAATTACTGTATTAAGAATTAACGATTGCCACCTGTATTCCTTATCCTCGCAATCGTAAGCGATCCAAATTAGAAAAATGAGTGCTGAAAGATAAATATTTCGGCTCGAAAAAATATTTATTTGTTACATTTATCTTTATATTAATATTTAACTCTCGCACGAATGCAATTTGTGCTCTAAACTCTAATGAGAGTTAAATCTTTTGTTTAAACATACACGCACAAAAGAAAAGAATATACAAAAAATAAAAGAACATAGAGATAAATAAAATGTGAAAAAATTTCAAAAGAAATAAAGTAACAGTGTTTGCGCTTTATTCCTTTTAATATTCTTTACACTTTTTTATTTATTGAAACGTTCAAGGTTTATTATTATTCATATTTTGTTACTTTGTAAACTTGTAGTCTATATTATAAATAATGTTATATGTTAAAAACAGCACTTTAGCACTTATTAGCCCTTCTTTTCTTTTGTTTAAATATTTTTTATCGTACTTAAACAATTTACCAGCGAGCAGTAGGAGCGTCATTCCTACTTTGCTATCATTTTCCTTCAACCAACCAGCTATATCGGGTAGATGGGCGTACTTATCGCCGGTGCTATTTAGTTTTCGCAGAATTCTGTGCCCTATCAGTAGCAACAATAACTTAATGCAAAGTACGTGGAACTGATGGCTAGAATCACTGCAACTTGGATCCAACCGAATTCGCATTTTTACGTTCATGATATAAAAGATCGCTGCCTATCATCAGGCAGGAAAATTCATCTGTGACGCAACGGATGTTCAAATCTGACTTAGATTTTGACATTCTTTTTTTTCTTCAAATTTTACGATTATGAAAAATCAACTGTTGACTCTTTCCCTGTTTTTATATAAATTGTATCTAAAATAATAAAATTTCTTTTCAAAATTTTATTCGAAATATATGAATAAAACAATCGCCTGTTCTTTCAATGCACTATGTGTCTGAAATAATAGATTTGATGTCTGATTTGAACGAACCTCGTGTTGCAAAAGAGAATTTTACTCACTATCGATGGTACGCGAACCATTTTCCAGAGCAACGATAAAGCAAGCACGCAACTGTACTGCCCCAGAAGAAATACCAAGTCTGATGCTCCTCTTCAACAAAACTGCTGCCAGCAAAGCTCGCTACGTGCAACAACGCACCGATCTGGAATATCCGTATCTTTGATCCCTTTTTCACCTATTTTCCGAGAGAAAGAAAATTAAGATTAAGATTATACGCATGATCTTAAGAAAGTACATTCGTTGAAATCTTTAAATAATAAAGCTTTTCACCTTTATCAAAAACAAATCGCCACGTTTTACACTTGACAAAAAATAGCAATTTATGCATAAAATAGTGATAATAAGTACGATCAGCAGAAGACTGAACGCACTCGTCGGGTAAGGCGAAGTCGTGCTCTCAGGATCAACGAAGTAATTTATCCCCAGGCACAAACTCGCGTTTAGCACAAAAAAGAATGCGGTCTTTTTGCACGTAGATCCAGCCAGATTTCTAACAACGAACAAAATGCAAAGTATCTGTAAAAGAGATACAATATAGGATTTGCTTTTAAGTTACATAAGCTTGAAAGATTCTCAAAGTTTTCAATTATTTCATATTATGGATTTTAAGTTTCCTGGTACTGCTGTGCGATCTTGGATTTATTTTACTCACGTGTAAAAGGAAAAGTACAGCTGCGGTCATTGAGCGAATATCGTACTTGACCATACTGGTGATCAAAGCAGTCTTCATTTCCTTGAGGATCGCGTTGTATGAAGAGACGATGTTCTCCACCATCTCGCTCGGTTTCTCGTTCGCATTCAACCAACCAATGTGAAGCCTCACGGTATTTCTATATTTCCGATGTATATCTGAAAAACATCGTACCAATCTTTCTCTAACTTTCCATAAGCTCGGAATATTTTGTGTACAACACGTAAAATTAAATTAATATCAAATTTATACATATTTCATAAACATTTTTTATTATCTTTATTGCATTATACATAAATATATACGATCTACAAGATAAGTGTAGATACTTACTTTGTGACTCACTGGCTACGAGATCCCGGAAATGATTAAATAGCTGTTTCGTGTTGTAATAGAGAAGAAATAGTCTTTTAGAGTCGGTGAGATCGTAGATACTGTCCAGGAATACAGATCCAAGGTTCGTAGAAGGAATGGGTAATCCCAGAGCAACCGAGAGCGTTGCCGCTATGTCTAGTTGTTCAATTTCAATCGGCTCTGATTCATTTTTTCGAGGACAGCGAATTTGTCCAATCGTAACAAGCGGCACAGTTGTCTCCTGCAGCGTCGAGCCACCGTGGCCACCTGAGTCCTTCATCCCATGATCGCCGCAAACGACGAAGAGTGCGGGAGTTCCGTTATCATTCTAGAAATAGGAAAATTCGCTTTGCATCGTCTTTTTCGAAATTGAACCTTCGCTTCGCATCGTCTATATTGTAATTATAGTAGCAATTATGTTTGGTAATTATTTAGAGCATATATTTTTTTCTTTCTCAAATATAGAAGAAACTGTCCTCGGCAGTCCTTCATAGTTTTTCCATTGCAACCTTATTTCTCTCAAATACTAACCCAATACCGCACTTTGCGGGCTATCTGAGCGATGATCTCGTCCATTTCTTGTAATTTGAGTTTAATTGATGCGCCGAACGGGCCTTCAATGTGACCAATGTGGTCGAGTCCAAGATAATGCAGAATCATCACAGACCAGTCATCATTATTTAGTTCATCCTGTATATGTCGAGTTACATTGTTGTCCACCTATTTGTAAAATCAATGATTAAATAAATATATCAAATAAGACAGATTTCATAAGAATGGTGAAATATATAATAATCACTTATCAGTATAATTACTTCTGTAAAATCTGTAACAAAAAACGAAGTGGTACCCTCATAACGCATAAACAGGTTGGGAAATAGGGAGAGCCAAGTTTCGTCACCATAGAACACCAATTTATGTCCTTGCTTCTTTGCCTGGACCAAAAAGCTGTCACTCAACAGAGGTTTACTTCCCAAATTCAGTACTACATCTACAAAATTCGGCACTGTGCCAGTCATCATAGCCTACATCCAAAAATAAATAATTTATTATCATACAAATAAAGTACTCTTTATTTATTCACAAATTACTACCTTACCTTTATTCTGGGCATTGTCACTGTAGGTGATTGTAATTTAGTCCTTAACAAACATCCAGAAGAATTTGCCAGTAGACTGCTTGTTATCGGCATGGCAAGCTTTCCTAATGGACTTGCAACAAAGTCCCATCTCAGTGCATCAATCACCATGATTATCAATTTATTCACTATCGGTTTGTATAGCACATTTGTCTGTATTCTGAAAATAGTATATATAATGTTGAATATGACTTTTAAGTTAAGAAACATATAATTATAGTAATAGAAAACATACATATTCAATGATTTTAATATTTTACCTACATATATCTTAATATATTTTGTATGCGAAATAAATATATAATAATGACAAAAGATATAATTCATTTAATGTTATGCGATGTTTATCACAAAATTGAGGTTAACTCACCTAACATTCTCAACATGTTGTGGGATATCTTTTCGAGTAGCAATTTTGTCAACATGATGAGCAGCCGGGAAGAAACCATACAGAAATAAAGCAATAGAAATTGGCGCAATTAACAATATGTAAAACAACAGGAGATCACTCGTACGCATCTTTCCATAATTTTCTTTCTCTCTTTCTCTCTCACTGGACACCTGTCAGTGTTCTGATAGTCTGTTCTTTTACCTGCTGCACTGGTACGATAAGTCAGAGTGAAACAAGTGGTCTGTTCTTTCCAGCTGCATTGATGAACTGTGCAATAAGTTAGAGTGAGAAAAAATATACTTGTCTCACTTTAACTTATTGCACCAGTTCAGCAATGCAGCTGAAAAGAACAGACCAAAGTATATTTTTCTCATTCTAACTTATTGCACCAGTTCAGCAGTACAGCTAAATAGAACAGACAAATAACTGACGGACATCGAAATCGACTTCGACTATTCGAGACATCGAGCGTTCGACTTCACGTACGTGGGAAATTTCAAAAATATTTTTCGATTCAAATATTTAGTGTATTCAAAAATATTAAATATACCGTAGAATATATATTTTTTTCTGCATCATCTATATAAGTAAAAAGAAAAGTTTATTATATAAAGAAATATAAGTAAATATAAAGTAACATAAGTAATTATAAGTAAATATAAGTAATTATAAGTAAGTAATTATAAGTAAGTAAATATAAGTAATTTATATAATATATAAGTATATAAAGAAATATAAGTAAATATAATATTAATATAAGAAAAAAAAGTAAATATTTATTAATATTATATACAATTATATTAAATTTCCTTATACTTGGTTTCTATAAAAATTCTACATTGGGTTCTACAAAAGTTAATTATAAAAACATCGATTATATTTTTTTGCGTCAAAGTTAGATAGAAACAAATTAATTAACATAATTCTATTTTATATGCGATGAAAATATTCAATTTCCCCGTAGAAAAATTGTGAATCACATCTAAAAAAGTTTTGTTTAACGTAAGATTTGTCCTTACATACAATTGGAAACGCAAGTTTTTGCGTTGGAGCCGTTTTGCAGGCACCCTATGTAAAGAAGCTAGAAGCTTGAACAAATCGGCCGACGAAACCGATCAATAAATGGAGGACTGTTTTGTCGGCCAACGCAACGTAACGCGCCATGCTATAGAGTAGTTACGACGCGTGTGAATCATGTTTCGGTAATTCCTACCCGTCCCGAAGTGCCACGGGTTTTCCTTCGTCTGTCAAAAAAATTGTGAGTACATAATCGAATACAAATGTTCACGCGAGTGAACACAGTGGAGTTTACAGTCTTCTAGATCTGTGAGGGCTGAAACATCCTGTTCAGCTCGTTGAGTTTCTCGTTCTCTCTAAATCCTCCGACTTCGTGTCACCGGATATTACATAATTTTGTTTACTGATGTTTTACGTCAAGGGACTTTCGTACTTGTAAATACCGAAATATTTAAATATCTTTCAGTTTTCATGTCCCATCCTTGTGCGTTATATTGTTGAATATTACATAAATAATTATAAAATTATATCCTAAAATGATATGAAGTAATTTTCACTTTTTGTTGTGGTTTACATTAATATTTAACATCCCATACTTGGAAGGAGGATTTTTTGCGCGTATATTACTAGTGAATACAATTTTAACAATAATTGAAATTCAATTTATGAGAGAATTCTATAAAATTGAAACTCACATTTTGACATTTTGTATGCAATGTAATTGACAAAACGAACGTTTTTACAGCGACAATGGTATCGCTGGAGGACAGTTGGAAGGAAGCCACGGAAGGCTTGGACGAGGCAGTCTGCGACGCTTGGTTCACACGGCTGCAGGAGGTTTATTCAGAAGAAAAACGCACTTATCACAACCTGGACTCACTCAGAGAGAAGTTGAATCATTATTATGAAATCAAAAACAACCTGAAGAACGCACGAGCCGTGTTACTTGCAATATTCTTTCAAAAGTGAGTAGCTACCTGGGAAAAAAAAGTTCACATAAAAGCCAGGTATGGATTTTGTCAAGATCTGATCAAATATAATCATATATAACGTTATATCTGATTATATCTGATCAAATCTTGACAAAATCCATATCTGGCTTTTGTCTGAACTTTTTTTTTTTCGGATATAAGACAGAAAAGATAAAATGTATTGCATATAATTTATTTTGTTTATTACATTTTTATTGTATCTATGTTTTTTAATGATAACAACTGACCTTAATTCTATTGCAGTTTCGAGTACGATCCCAAAGCTATGGACGATGAAGACAAAAATCTCGAGCACTTTAACACTTTCGCCGACGAAACTGACATTCCATCGGTGAGTGCACATTCAATAATTTATAAAATTTTGATAAATAACACAGATTTTACTGTGCAAATTTTACATAGATTGAAAATCTAGGCAAAACTTTAATGCACTTTTAATGCACACTTAATTTATTATATACAAATTAAGATACATAAATATGTATAACATGTAACTTAAGATACATACATATGTATGTGCATTAAATTTTAATTTTTTAACTTATTATGATTGAATAATTAAGGACGCGGAGCTCAGAGAGGAGACATGCGCCCTACTGAAAGTAGCGGCAACTCACAGCACCGAGGCGCACAAGGTAGGTGGTGCTTTCGGTGGTGAAGATGCTCACTACTTCTTGGACTTGGACATGGCAGTGCTGGGATCCTCGCCGGAGAGTTATGCAGAGTATAGGGAACGAATACGTGGAGAGTATTATTTCCTCAGTGAGCCCATGTACACGGCGCTACGACTAAAAGTGAGTTTTCTATTTAAAATAAAATAGATTTCAAAGATATATGCGTTAAAATATATAATAATTCAATCAATTATATTTTCAATTTGCTGTATAAAGGGTTGAACGGCGCAACGCGATCGTACGAGATTTCGTGTGGTTCTCAATGTGGTTTTACTTTTAAGGTATTGCAGAACTTCTTGCAAATTCCGAACATCTTCGCCACTATGGAATTCCGCGACAAACTGGAAGAACAGGCGCGCCAGAATATTCAAGCGGAGGTAGAACTGCTGTCTTAGGATTCCATCGTTTCGCCTCGCTTCGCTGCTGACTCTACGGAAAGAATATATTGCTAAATATTTAATATTAAATATTTGACACATCGTGATTATCATAAATATTTAATATTAAATGTCATCGAGAGTTCTCCTCGCAATACACTCGTTACTCGATCTCCGAAGAGAATCCGCTGATGATAGGGACTTGCTTCGATCTTACAGAGAATTTTCACATTGAATACAGTAACGTTTCGTCGCCTACCTCACAGAGCCACGACGCTAATAGCTCGTCGCTAATTCCGCAGAGGTGTACAGCGAATGTCAAATCGCATAACCATCCATAATAAACGAGGATGAATCTCGATGATGAAGAGGACGTTAATATCATATTCGCTGTTCTTTACACATGAGTCGCTGAGAGTACGTTGAGTTAAACATTTGATTATGTACATTGTTGTTTCTTCGTATATTAGATTGTGATTACCTATATATTTATATGTAAAATTGTATATATAATCGTTTTTTCTTGTTTTAAATAAGTTTTTTTTTTTAATGTACGATTTATCTGTATAAAATCTCTCATTGCTTACGCACAATTTCTCCGTAGAGGTGCTCCGTCGCATAATTTATTTCATTAGAAATTTCATGGCTCATTAGTTCAGTTTAGCGAGTTATTTTAATCAATTCAGTTCGATAGATTACTTTAGTTAATTAATAATGGTTAATTAATAATTGCCAACGATAACGGAATTATCTCGCTATTTGGACTTGCATAATGGAGAACAAAACTTGAAGAATAATGACCGCACTAATTTGCGTCACAGAGATTTGTGAATGGAATTGACACATGTCTGTCAATAAATGTAATAATGAGTATATATATATATATATATATATATATATATATATATATATATTAGAAGGAGTATTTTCGCGCAAGTGAATCGAAAGATTGCGAATTTGAACCCGGGAGTTACGCTTCGCGCACTCCACACGTGCAGCACATGTGAAACTTTTTATCCTTATATCTCCGAAATCCTTTGAGATTTTCAGAACTTGTCCGGGGTGCTCAGTAAACTCGAAAGATCCCCAGGGACTCTGACACGTCCATAGATTCTTTTGAAAGTCACCGGTGCTTTTCGAAAATCTTTGAGACAGGCTTACTCTTTCGACTCCGGTAACATATTGTCGCATTTTGTGCAATTCAAGTTTAACCGATGCTGCAAGAAAAATACACATTTTAAAGCTCGTATCAAAATGTTGCAAAAAGAATTGTTGAATATAATTAAATCGCGGCGTTTGGAAGTCCGCGACTAAGACAAAATGCTGATCGAGATATTACGAACTATGTACAATGAAATAAAGATGAGATTATTAAATACATCTGTCTCTGTGTTTCAGAATAGTACTGTGTCCCTATTACATGTGAAGAAATTGCGTATTTCCGACATTTTCTTTACATTGCGTCACTGTTCTATATTAACTGTATCAACATCGTTCTTATTTCAAAGACGCTAATAATATGCTGTCTTTTATATTATTAATTTTAATCGAATCTTTTCAGCATCTTTTGTGCTTCCAAGCTGATTTTAAAGTAAGTATTTTAATTGAAGTACAAATAAGTATTAATTTACGTCCATATCGATTTATCCTCGCGGCGTTTCCAAGTAACTGATTGTCGTTTATCTCAGATACCTGCAAGGACTCCTAAGTAACCGGTTTATCGCAAGAAATCAAAGGAATCTTTTCGGGATATTAAAAATCTATTTATTAATTTACTGTCCGAAGACGTGTTATGCCCTTGCAACTCGAGGCGAATGACAAGATTTGTGATGACAATGAGGTAAAGACGGTGTATGCAAAGTGTTATCTAACATCACATTTTGTCGAGTGTATTGAGATAAGTTTCCAGTAAGCAAGAAATCATTAATATAACGTTACTGCAATGATATTCAAGAACTTGTAATATTGTCAAATATGTAGTGTTTAATATTGTATCGAACATCATTATGAACATACTTTGACCGCGATTTGGAAGTTTCAATAATGTTGAAATAGGGTTGCCATAACATTTTAATCGTCAGAAATATTTTTAAGATGTCTAAAATAAATGTGCATTGATTTCAAATAAATGTTAAAGTAACATTTGAAAAATATATTTTTTGTAATGTTTTTAAAACGTTTAAACAACATTCAGAAAAATCATATCGCAAAATAACACTCACACACATGTGAAAAATATAAATGCAATATTATTAAAAAATGTCCAAACAATGTACATGAAATCAACTTTTCTAAACGTTACTTTAATGTTCCTTTCTTACTGGATTATTTAATACACTGAGGGAAAAATTATCTTAAAATCAACAAATATTTAATGGGTGCCATTAACATATTTACTTAAATCTAAATTCTCTTTATTTAAATCAAATATTGTTTATCTGATTTAAGTAAACCATATTTGGTTTAAATAAAGAGAATTTAGATTTAAATAAATATGTTAATGGCAGCCATCAAAGAAATATTTGTTGATTTTAAGGTAATTTTTTCCTCAGTATATTAACCCACACAGCAAGAATGTCCCAAATATATCATAAGGATATCTTGAAGATATCGCATATCCCAAATATATTTTTAGGATATTCCTATGATATATTTTGGACACCTCTGCTGTGTGGAAAATAACCCAGTAAGCAAGAAACATTAAATTAACGTTTAGAAACGTTGACTTCATGTACATTGTTTGGACATTTTTTAATAATATTGCATTTATATTTTTCACATGTTATTTTGCGATATGATTTTTCTAAATGTTATTTAAACGTTACAAAAACATTACAAAAAATATATTTTTCAAATGTTACTTTAACATTTATTTGAGATCAATGCACATTTATCTGAGACATCTTAAAAATATTTCTGACGATTAAAACGTTATGGCAACCCTATTTCAACATTATTGAAACTTCCAAATCGCGGTCAAAGTATCTTCATAATAATGTTCGATACAATATTAAACACTACATATTTGACAATATTACAGGTTCTTGAATATCATTGTAGTAGCATTATATTAATGACAAGATATACGACTCAAACGTTAATTTTAACAACAAATTTCTTAAATCGTATTCTTCTCTAAAGCACGAAAATTAAGATAAAATAAATTGTAAGAGAAAAATATCTCGTACATCGAAATTAATTTTTTTCACACTAGATAGAATATATGAGTTAGAAGAGTATGTAGAATGTTTAGAAAAAAAAAAAAAAAAAAAAAAAAAAACCCTAATAAACTAT